AGAAGTCGCCAAAGGCATACCAAAGACCTTACTCGGCTGGCGCCAACCAAGGAGAGGGGGTAATAGGCTTTCTTTGTTCAGAAAAAATAGAACAGTGAAAAAAGCGTCAAAAGCCAGCAAAGAGAATCAAACGAGTAGAATTGAGCCTCGAGACCAATGACGATGAAAATTGAAGCACCCTTGGGAATTTGCCAGCATGCTTTCACACCCTTCATTCCCTCCTCCTGCCAAGCCAAGAAGTTCACGAAGAGCATAGATAAGAGCTGGCTCATGATCGCAGGAGAGTTCTTGGAATAGAGCATCTTTCCGTCCTCCTAGATATACACATGGGGCGATGCTTGACAAAAGCACAGTGCTTTGATTTTAGAGCAGCTTCACAAGCATCATCAACACCTCAAAAGCACTACGTGTGAACAAAATCAGAAGTGTGCAAAACACGACTGGGACAGTTACCTTGGAGTAGTCGATCACCATGGGATGCAACGCACGGGAGAGCACGAAGACGATGAAAATGCCCATGGTTCCCTTTGCTGCGGCCTCACCAGGCGACCAACATCAAAGGAAACCAACATGGTGGCGGTGGCGGTGGCTGGTAGCGCCTCCGTCTACCAAATCCACCACAAAATACGAGGACTAGGACCCCGGGGCTAGATTTCGATGTTACAACCATCCTGAAGTAAATAGAGGTATGAAGCAATCCAAAAACAGTACCCTTTCCTGTTGTTTTGGGGAATCGCCCATATTCTATCTAAGTACTTCACGATTACTATACGTTATATTACGTTATACTTTCGGTACCAGCCTGCCTCTCCTGCCATGATGAGAGCTGAACAGGCGCTGCCAGAAGAGTGTGCTGTCGGACGGTTTGGGCCAAGATCTGCGCGTTGGCGCGCTCGGTGTTATAGACCCGAATGCGCACGGGTGAATTCCAAAACAGCAGGGGAGGATTCAGAACCAGAAGATCCAGAAGACCTGAAGTTCTATCCACAAATATCTGCAACATCAAATAAATCGTCCTAAAGCAAATATCCAACACGACTCAACAAACACATCCTTGAGGATGAGCCCAGTTGATAAGTACCATGGAGTTCTGTTCCACTTGCACCAAGCAAGACTCCTAAAGTTTGGGAGACTCCCTCAACCTAGCAGCTGAAGGGAAAGGACAAACACACGTCAAAGGACAAACTCGAATCCTCATACATAGGCATTGACGCCAACCGGGGCCCAGCACGCACTGAGCGTTTCATTGAAAGACATCAAGCGGAAAAGTGTGAAACATGCTGTCAGCCTGGGATGGGAAATCGCGCGGAGCCCTGGTTGGAACTGTCCTGGTGTCAACGTCGCGGAGAGCGGCTGCCTCAGGAATGTGAGGCAACTGCCACGCCTGCCTCATAATTACACGTTCTTTCTGTGTCTTGGGGGATCACAAGCTACGACCTAGGTCCCCACGCGTCCACCATGCTCCACGAAAGCATGACCGGCATTCGGAGAGGGCGTCGCGCGTGAAAACATGGCGGTCGCTGGACCCAGCATGGCCTCCGATACACTTGACGTACTACACACTGGAGCCATGCTGGGTCGAGCTTTGGACACTCAAACATGAAGCCATGTGTGCTCAAAAGTTCCTGGAGCAGGTATGTACTCAAGTGGGTCACGGTCTTATTCTACTTGAGGATCACCAAAAAATGTCAGCTGTAGATGTAGATTGCAGATTTACACCAGAGGATCACTATACAATACTATACGATCATCATTGTACTGGATCACGGTCCTCTCTGTAGACTTAAACCGTGTACAGTTGCCATTACACTCACTCATCCATTTTTCTTGAGGGCTCGATGCAAGGCTCGACATGGATCAATGGTGATCAACGTCGATAAACAGTTCAAGCCTGAACATGAAGGAATGAGCCAAGAATGGCGGCATGGATACGCGGAGAGGGGGATAAGTTTTGTTAACCAAACAAAGTAAGGTGGGTGTTCTTCCGAATTGCTGTTGTTCTCTCCGTTTGCATCGATCTATTCTTCATGCAGGTGGGGTCTCTCTTTGATTCTCTTCGAGCTGAACCTGTTATTTTGTACACATGTCACCAAATGAAGGGGTCTCACTGGCTGATGATCAACAAGGGCTTTTCCTTTCGCTTACGACAAGTTATGGCCACAAACCCTTGATTGAGCCAAGCCACAAACAAACATATCATGTGGCTCATGGAGAGTCCAAACATGTGCAAACAACCCCCTCCACCCCACGCACACACCCCTCACCTCATCTCACCTCACCTCACCTCACACTACATCGCTACGCACCCCCACCGATGAGCCTTACTATGCATGTGACTGGTCGCTGGGCCTTCCGGAGAGCTCAGCTGGTCGCTGAGGAAGATCCAAGGTTTGAATCTGCGGGCAAGGAAAGCTCAGCGTGGCACAGGCAACGGCACCAAGTAAGACCAGCCGGCTGACTCGTTCAGATTCCCTGGAAAATAAAGGTTAACCTTTTTCTACCTGTTTTTTGTTTAGTGGAGAAACCACTCCCAAAAGAAGGTTAAAGGTTATGTATGAAGGAGGATCAAGGAATTAAGGCATAATGTCTGCGAGAGGGAACCGGTCAATAGTATTGCATGCCGCGTTGGGTCTCAATGAGCAGTTACATTTGGGACTGGAATCTCTGGGGGACGTAGCGGGAATGTTGAAAACTGGACAGCTCACCAATCAAACCGAGTGCTCTGTTTCCAGGAACAACTGGCTTTCATGATCAACATTTTAATAAGAGCACCTCCATAAATACTACCACTACATAGTTTGGAAGATTAAGTTAACATCCGTTCGTTGGGAACCCCTGAAATTGAAAGACACACGATAATTACTATAAGTAGTTGTTACTTGCCACTTTTCGGAAGTGAGTAGTTGCTAATGAGAAGAGTCGTGAACTCACCCCAAGTTGTGCAGCACGACAATGGAACTGAGGCAGAATTAAGAAATGGATCGCATCTTGTTACGCTATCATATCTCCAACCTGAAATACGGAACATAAAGAACGTCTTCTCTTTTCAACCTGTTTCAACCCTGTTCCCTCCATCTGTTTCTTTTCGCGTTCTGTTTCCCTCCATTAAATGCAGGTCCTCGCCTCAACGTCCAAAGACGGATTCCAAAAGTATGGCAATGAGAAGCGGCCTGCTGTAGCCTGTAAGCGGCAGTCTGGCAGCCTTCCACTGTATTCTGCGGGCTTGGGAGACATATAATATTTATATATATATATTTATATAAGTTAGTCTCCATATATCTACCCATCATGAAACGAGGATCTTGGGTCTAGGGTTCGAAGCTGCAAGCTGGGAGAAAATGGTCTGCAAAGCTCTTTTCCAAGTTTCCTTATCAGGTCTGATCAAGATTACAAAAACAAACATAAAACACATGTTTATTTTGTCATGTATATATATATATACATAATAATTACATATACACATAAACATTGTTCTTCAAAGCGGGTTCTTTGCAAACCCAATCCGAACTGAGCCTTCAACTTCAACACATGAACATTCAGACCCTTTCGGTCATGCGCCGCATGGGGCAGAAAAAACACTGGCGAGCGTAACTTCCAACCCTGCATGTGTCAATGCCCGAAGCCGACCTGAAAACGGTGATCAAATACATAGAAAAGATCGGTCTGGTCCGCTTGTTGAACCACACTCTGACCAGGTCGTCCCCGAACCAGTTCCTTTCCCTTCGAGCTCCCAGCAGTCTTTGGCTGCAGGACGCGATGAACCTGGCGCTCCGGCTCCAAAGAACACCAAACAAAGCGCCAAGGAGCTCCGGTTCGGTGTTTACATGATATATGATATATGATATGTATATATATATATACATATACAGTACATATAATAACGATATATATATATTTATATACAGTTATATATATATATGACATTATGATATCAATTGGATATCTGGTGCAGGAATCTAGAAACTGTGCAACAGTAGCCGTAGCCATCTGCAGCACCTGACCAGTCGATGTATCAGCTCCCGACTCATGCTGTCCGTGGGCTTCGCTGAATCGACTGTTTTCATCGGTGCATTTAGCCAGCGGGTCTTACACACCACTGTTTATAGACATATACTGTAGACGAAGAATCGCGATTTTTGACCCATAATGGGATAACAACACCAGACACGAGTGTGTCTCGAGGAAGCTTCCTAACCAAAGAAGTGTCACCACTTGTTCAATTGACCAGCCTAGCTGTGAATAGGGTCCCCCTTATGACAAAAGAGAAATTCCTGAACGAAGGTAAAACAGTGAAACCCTCAAATCACGAGGGAAACAAATCCCACTCATCAGGGCTTGTGGTTCAGCCTTCCAGGGTGGAGTTGTTGAGTTGTTCCGTCTTCCAGGGCCCCGACATCCACCTCCCATACCCCAAACAACAAATCATGTCGGTCGAGCGGTGGCAGGATAAACACCAGCGGTGAGCAGTTGGACCACCTGGAGAGCGGCTCATGGACGGCGCCATGTTTTCATGGCGACGTTCAAGATGATTCTTAGGCTTCATGACGACGTAGTATCTCCAGTTCTTTTTAATACAACTACTGTATGTTTGGGGGGTGTATATACTAGTATAATTATGTTACATGTGTTTATGTCTGATCAAAGGGATATTGTTCGATTGGCTGATTGGCATGCTGAAGGAGTCTCGACGCCGTCGCGACGGGTTCGGTGACGCCGGAACGACACACTCGGACGCAACGAGACGACACGGACAGTATTCACTCCTCTCCAAGTACCAGTACTCTTTAAGAAGGCTAAGCCGGCTAAGCTAGCAAACAATCATAAACAATCTCTTAGAATTCCGGAAGTATCACCACCTCTGGAGATGTTCCCTCTGGAAAAAAGGATTCGACCTCTCTTTGTTGGAATCCTTGGGACCTCCAACACCCAAGCCGCGCCGATCCGCGCCGTGCCTCACCCAGGTTGCAAACCAAAGAGTTCGGCACCGGTGTGGCCGGGATCCACTCTGAGCGCCGGCAGAGTTCGATGGTCAAGAGAGACCAATGAGATCAAGAGAGGCAGTTCACTGAAACCGATAAGGCCAAGACATCTGTTCTACAGTACAGCTACTTACTAGCATCACAAAAAGTTGGAAAAACGTCCAGGAGAAATGATGTTCTAAGCGTGACCCTTCCCCATTACAGCTCATCCAGGCGATTCCGTCCCCATCTCCCGACGTCGCCACTGCTGCGATTTGCGGGACAGTTCTGAATATCGAAGACTCTGCAGACACGACTGGATGGGGCTGGCATAGTGACCTACATTGGAGTGGTTGGCACGGGGTCAATGTAAGTACATCCTAGCCTTCAAGAGCCAATCTTCCAAATGGTGGACCTGGCATCACCTGGCTTTGTCAATTTGTAGTCTAAAACCCTGAGTAAAAAATGGCTGTTGGGTAAAACAACATGAAATCAATGGTGGGCCAGCAACCCTAGGGCGTATCATGTGTATTTATATTCCTTTTGGATCCACATACTACCCTCCAAGAAGGTGATGTGTTCCGACGGGTCATTCAAAGGGCCATGCCATCCACTTCCATATGTCAGGGAGTGCCTATAATATACCTGGACCTTCTTTCGGGGTGTCCTGTCGGTCCCTTAGTCTAGTCAAGGGGCGACCATTGGCATCCAGGAACTCCAACCCCTCCGAGTCCTGGAACCAACGGGGTTGGTCTGCGGTCCGGGCGGTCGGCGACCCGGCGATGTTCCGCGGTGTTTGCTAGGATTGGTCTGAAATGTGTTGGTGTTGTGTTTCTATTCAATGATGAAAGGACATTAAATGTGATCATGAATGATAATGACATTCCATTTGGGAAAATAACATTAACTGTTTTATTAGCTGCAGGATAACACAACATTCCAGGGATGGGTCCAAGGATCTGACAGCAGCCCAAAGAAATGCTCAGGTCTGAACATACCCTTGTAGAAAAATGACTTTATATAAATTTCAGGAACCTAATAGCGATGGCCTTCAACCTAATAGCACTGGCCTCCAACCTAGTGGCAATGGCCTCCAACCTAATACAAATGGCCTCCAACCTAATAGCGATGGCCTCCAACCTAATAGCGATTGGCCTCTAACCTAATGCGATGGTGCAAACACACTTTTAAGGACACCAGTCATGTGCTGGCAATTCCAAACTCCGGGGTCGTCCCGCAACTCTACATCATGAAGACTGTTTCAAGGTTCTGCTACACGGGAACCAGTATCATGCTTTGCAACAAACATCAATAATTCATTCTGAAGCCCCGGTCTGCTTCAATTTCTCCCCGAACGCCGACGCGTGTGTCGTAATAATAGTCTTCATAGTCTGCCAGGGTCAAATCCTCAACTTGCAATAGATTAGCTTTTGGCTTATCCGAAGGAGATGTGCATGCATCCCATCTAGTTTTGCAAACAAGGTGCTATGTTAATTGTGATGTGTGTTCTGTTGCAGCATGTGCTACTGGCAAAGATCAACATCAAGTAATAGTGGACCTGCAAAACTGCACCAAATGCTGCGATACCACAGGCTCCTCTCCTGCCATAGCAAGGTAAGAAAGCCCGAGTCGCAATGAGCACCTACACCCATGCCACCTGGGAGGCATTGATTGTGAAGTCCTATGGGCATCGAGTCCTCTTCTTGTAGGGTCCGAAGGGCAGTCGCGGCTGTAAATATATAGCTAATTGTACGAGTAGGTATGACAAAGACTCCTGAGGATGCGTTTCATGATTCCCTGAGAAACGCGCCAATCGGGATTGCGGGTGGTGTGTGAGTTGTTCTGTTAAACTTCGCACGTCCGTTTAGGTATTGTACCCGTCCAAAAACATTCAAAAACCTTAGCCAGTTTTCGCACAAATGGCAGTCAACCCAGGTATTCGCCCAGCAGCTTCTTTCTTCTTTAGATTAAAAACATATCTTCCAACTGCTTGGCACTGTGAACCGCATAAATGCTCCATGCTAATAGATGCGATAGATGCTCGTCACTGAGAAAGGGACTGGACCTTTTCGTCGAGCGAAGCGGGTCGACGTCGCATCAAATGGATCGATTAGCTCAGCTGCAAAGCTATTGAAACCCACTTCTTCTTCACCTCGTCCCTGCTCCGGCACAAACTTTCTCCCAGCTAAGGTGTCCAAACCAAAGAGCCCCAGAGCATTCGGATACCAAAGGGATTGAGACAGCTTCGACATCTCCAAAGAGATTCTCTTTGAAGCAAAACGCATAGCTTTCCGCACCCAACCTTGCTTTAAAAACACACACAAAAACACGACGAAAGCTCCAAACGGTCCAGCTGTCGACTGTTTGACGACCGAACTGGGCGTTGGGTGCTAACGCCGGGCACCGCCGTCCGGTCCGCCTTCTGCAGGTGGATAATGCACCAATTTGGCCTCGCGGAGGGCCGGTGGCGTGTCCGTCCATGCCGTGTCCATCACGTGTCCATCGTGTGGGCGCCATACCGAGTTCTTCAGGCTTCGAGGGATGGTGCGCATGCTATGCCTGTTTGGGTCCTTGCAGCACTGCAGCACTGGCGACAGCGACTTGAATCCTGTTGATCGAACACCTAGTTCGGTTCCTTATTGAGTTACGGTCTTCTGCCATTAGGCTTATCACCATGGTTTCAATGGTTTTTTACCGAACAACAAGGGTTTTATTGAGGATTGTATGCCACAACACCAGGTCAACCATGTTTAAATGGTCTTGGACTCCCAGGGTTTGGGTTTTGTCAGAGTCACTTCTTTTCCTTTGAGTACCCATGATCGATGTGTACCTACCCAGTTACAGCTCCTGGATTGATGTTTACCTAAATCCGCTTACAAGATCTACATCCGCTTCCAACGGCAGAACGACCCGGGCAAGCCGCAAACATACGACCGTCAGCTCCGGTGATCCCTTCGGTGGCCAGAACGGTCCTCTCCTGCACATGCGGCTCCAGGAAGTATCCATCCAGTCCGGTGGCGGTTAAACCTGGACCAGTCCGGGGGCCCAGGCCGACCGACCAAGCGATGACACAGCATCAGCATGCCATTTCAACAGCACGGAATGTTCTACCGGTAGTAGTTGACATTTAATAATGTTCAACGTTCCTTTAGTACGTTTCTTTCGTGGACTCCGTTCCAAAACCACTTTCGTAAGCTTTCGTGGACAGAACTGGCTTTGCAAGCTTTCCCACATGAAAGTTTCGCATTTGTTTTGTTACTGTGTGTGATTTTCTTTTGCTAAGGCATGCTAACATATCACCTCCCTTCACATATAATTGTTTTTCGGCTTTGGACTTGGCAATTTTGTGATGAAGCCATATAATATAGAAAATATTGATATATATATATATATAGAAATCCGTAGATCCCCACGTAGAAAAATGTATTGGAAACCGTTTCTATTTCTTTTAGATACCAAGCGATAAGCAAAGCACCTCTTGAGATCCACATCTCGCCAAGAGGCCCAAAGACAGCGACAAGGCACGCGTCAACTGCCGGGAGAGCTCCTGTCTCGACGCAAATCCATCGGGGGCGATCCCGGTGACCTGCGTGACCCGAGTGACCTGAGTGACCTCCATGACTTGGATCACGTCTTTAAACATTTGGATCACAGGGGTCATGTTGGGGTCGGACGGTCAAGCAGGTTCTACACATGATGAATACTATAACTTCATACAAAATCGTGGTTTGCTGTGACTGCAAAAGTTGCAGTATCCTTCTTTCAAGCGACCTCAGTTGTTCAACAGATTGGCTTTCTCTTGCAAGCGACTGTGGCTCCCCTCAACAAGCACAAGGCTGCATTCTTTTAGTGGATAAATGACTTTGGCATCTCAACAAGCCTGAATTGGGATGAATAACTTGGCATCTTTGCATGCGACCATTCCCAGTCACTCCATGTATGGCAGCATATTTACCTAGTATGCTACATTGGGGTGGTTTCAGGGGTCAACTTTCCATACGTGAAATGTCTGGGATTGTGTTCCAAACCAGCAAGTTCAAGAATTTCCTATCGACATTGACCACCTCATGACCGACCGAAATGCTGCAATAAAGTAACTACATTATCTATATACACATTGTCTATAGTCTGTAGCTCTCACATCTTCGCATCATCCGGGAAGAAAAAGACAAAAAGGCGGCACGCGAAAAAATGAGTCACTTGGTTGTCCTCTTGATCATCGTGATCTAGATAGCATCTTTACAGGAACTTCCCCAGGAACTTCGGCCCTCTCCTCCATCTCTTGCAACCTCAGGGTCTACGCCGCAGCAGCTTGCTGATGTTCATGTGAGGGGTCGTTCAAACGGAACGGGCTCACGTTCGACATTGGACGGATGGCGTCGGTTTCGGCCCGCTCGCGCTCCATCGCTCCAAACCCCTCGGAGATGTTGAGTCAAAGGAATGTTCACGGAATGTTCGTGAGGCAAAGGAATGTTCCTCCGTCTGGGTGTGGTTTGGGCTAACATACACTTGCAAGGTCTCCAACTGCAGAACATGGTACTCTCGACTGCAGCGGAACCTGGCGGAACCTGCACGGTGATTCAACAAATCTAGCTGCTCATACCCTGGTTTTGGCCTTTCGTTCATGCCTACAAAGAAGCAAATGTCGCAACCAAAATTCATCATTTTGTTTGTCAACACTGGCTGCAGGTGGCAAACTTTAATCCTGAGAGACTCGGCTCACGAAGCAACACCAGAACTGGTCTCAGGACTGCCCGTATGTGAAATGCACACGTAGGGTGGTGCTCACATTGTTTTGTTCAATGCACGCATTAATGTGTATTAATTAGATAATTCAACCTATATAGACTTGAAGGCTGATGGGCCAGAGTAGCTGATTTCTCTTGTTCCAGCCCTATCAAAAGTCTGATTCAACAACAAAGGCCGAGATCCTTTCATTACCACGGTTCTTGTCCCCAAGTCTATTTGCACCTTCGAACCTGTGATTCAGTGAAACACTTGGACACCAAGCAGTTCTTGGAATCCGCTTCCACCAAGCTCGAAAACCAGCAGTTCTCCAGCAGTTCTTCATGAGATAGGAACGTCAAAAAGTGGCGTTGCCCTCATGTTTTGGCTCAAACCAACGGAACAAACAAAACTACTGTACTCCAGTCCAACAACAACTGCAGTGCAACATTGAACGAATTTGTTGCCACTGTTGCCTAGTCAAACCTCCTCGTTGCTTTTTGACATGTTGTTTCCTTCTCACATGTCACTTGATCACCTGACCTGTTCTAAACTTCTGGCAAACTGACAAAAACCAGTTGTTCGTTGTCGGGTCTTAGTCTTCTCACCTTGCGATTCGTCTTGATGTGTGAAAACCCACCCTCAAACCCCAACCCTGACTGGGCCCGCCGGCCATTTCAGCATCAAGGGCTTCAAATGAGGAGGTTTGCTGGGCCATTGGTTCGGGCCTGGCGCTCAAAGCGCTGCGGAGACAGCACGTGCCCTGCATGATTCTCAAGTGCAATTGTTTCGTAGCGTTCACATTGTTGTGGCCTTCATTGATGTGTGCGTGGAAAATTTTTTTCTATATGTGTGTGAATGCATGACTGATTCAAATCTCAAAGCACGGTGATGACGGTGATACACAGCATGTATCTGGCAGGGGAAAGTGTGCACATGCACCATCCAACGATGTGTTACTTCAAGTGAGTTCGTTCTCCCCGTCAGCTGGTCTGACCAGTCTGGATCAGAAGAAATTTGTTGGCTATCATCAAGCCTCGATTCTCCTCGATCGGGGGTCGTAAAAAATAACTTTTGTTGGAGTGATCCCTACCCTACCCTGAGAAGCAATTTGGAAGAAGGCAAGGTGCATGTATTGACAATAATATCTGACAAACACAGCCTAACACGCGTACCAATGTTCTGACATTTTTGCTTTTCTGGCATCTGCATTCTGACATATAATCTACCATAAAGGCTGCAATATGTTCTGGAAAATTCTCTGACATCTATCCTGCTCAGGACTGATATGTGTTCTGACATACCTTTTGGCATGTACTTCTGACATGTGCTCTCGCACCAAAGCTGGCATGTGTTCTGAGATTCTGAAACCTGTTGCAACATATGATCCGACTGTTGTTTTGATGTGTTCTGCAAAGTTCGGAGACATATTTTCTGATACTTGTTCTGTCATCAAACCAGCCACTTGTTCCGACATGTGCTTCACTTGTTCTGATACGAGTTCTGACATGTGTTGCCCTGATTCATTTCAATAGACGTAGTTGAGGCTTGGACCAAAGTGTTATAGTGTGACCTGTGCCATCGTGTGTTTCTTTGATTTTTCCTGGCTGTTGCTGGGGTGGAGAAGCAAAAGCCAAGCAACAATCAAAGGCAAACACATCTTTGAGGATTTACGCCCATGATCAAATGCCCGAATCATGTTTGCATTACCTGAACAACACACATGTTTAACGACCTGGGGGCGAACACATATGTATTGAAACATCTTCCAAAATACAATTGAAAACACGTCTTGCAGCGCCAAACAAATGACCGATCGTGCATGAATCCCCGTGACTGGTCTACGAAGGTAAATGTTGATAAATGTGTGTTGAAACATATTACTTCCCTGCAAATGAACATGGAACCTCAAAGCAACTGGATTCAGGGTCCCTGTCAGTTTCGAGAGGAGTATATACATCCCTCCTTGACTTGCCTCGGTTTCCGCATGGCCTTTTCAACATCGCATTCCTCCGGCCTCTAAGGCGTTGGTAAAGCCCGCCCTGATGCGGTGACCGGATTGACCCAGAACGTATCCAGATCCAATGGAAGCACGGGTAATGTGATGTTGCGCAGAAATGTCTTTCATGGCTTGGATGCATGGTGCCAGCGTCAGGGTGCGGACTCAAACGAGAGTGCACCATACCCTTCATGGCGTCTTTTCAATCTATATATTGCCGGTACGCTCTGAGTATGTTCCAGCATGTAATCTAGCAGTGTGTCTTTCATTGTCTTTCCACATACTGTAATTGGGGTATATTGGGGTGCATCCATCAATATATAGGCTGAAGGGGTGAGTCTGTAGGGGAGGGCAGAAAGAGTTGACAGTCAAATCAGTTGGTTTGGGCTGGGAGTATGGGACATAAACGGATTGCTATCCACAAAACATCTTGAACTTCCTTAATCAATGTCTATCTATTCAGCAAAAACGCATGCAACCTTGGGCGGGGCATATGCATTAGGATTATTAGGGATGTTGGTCGCGGGTAGTGCAGGCCGGCCTTTTGGCATCCCCACTGAAATGCATCTCTCCACATGCTTGTGAAATTGGAAGGGAGGGGAAGGCCTAGATTTGTGCATACTCTTCAATTGGCGCTGTTGGTGTGGGGAGAAGGCGCGAACGGTCGATCTGTAGCAGAAGCAAACAAAAGCATCTTCCTCAAGCCTCCATGAAACCGCCCACAAACCGCCCACTTCAGCCCGCTGCTGAAATCACTGTTTTTCCCAGGGCATCTTGGATGATTTTCGCTGTACACTGTACAGAGTGGCCTGGGGGGGGTCGTTGACCCACAACCCAGGTCCAGTCCAGGGTCCGCCGGGGCCCGCGCGCCCCGGCGCGGCAGGGTACCATTTTTTTTGGCATGCCCGGAGTTGGATTTGCATGTAAGCCTGTACAAAATCTCACAAAAATGTTACACACCCCTCTTCCTTCACCTGGAATCAATTCCCCCAATTTGGAAGGTGTCCTCTTCAAGGACAACCCACCCTCCAGTGGAGAACAACTCCCAAAACGAGTTCCAAAAGGTGTTATCCCTCAGGATCCAATTTAGTTCTGTTCATCTCCAAGCGAACACATCGCCTTTTGGCCACGCCGGCGACTCTCTTCACCGCGACTCTCTTATGCACGGCGCGTTCGCGCGGCGCGGCGAGACAAGAAACCCACGACGCGGACGCCGCGCGGCGTGCGCAGGATCTGCAGCCGAGTCCTGCACGGGTCCGTCGACGGGTCCGACGGGTGGCAGGCGAAATGGTCTGGGAACGAAGCATGCGATTTCACTTTATATATACATTTACTCACTGGCTAACGGCTAAGTGAGGTGAACTACAAGACTGGATCCAGCAGTGAGTATACTACAAGTACATGGTAAATAGTAATAGATGATCTGTATATTGAGCCCCAACATTAGGCTCTATGATTTTCCTAGGCGGAAGTTCGATTGGCGAGTACACCCAGGTCCATTCGCACATCCACGAGAAAAATCACTGTAGGGGAACCCCAGTAGGCAGAAACGGATTCAAGCACATTTTTTGTGGACTGACTCTTCTATCAATTTCGGGACTATGTATATATATATAGAATACTCAGAATACTTCATGAAGTTATTTAATGTTTTCTCTTTTGTTCGAGTAACTCTCGAGTGGCATTGATATATGTTCCACTCTTGGCACTGTGTGTGTATCTGCCAGAACCAATGGTACAAACATGAACTCCCTCTACAGTGTTATAAACCCACCAGGTTATATAATTGGGTTACAAACATCCATTTGGGGGGTATAAGCATCAATACGTTTATAGTTGCAGTCAGGCAGGTTTGAAGCACTCCCATTCGAGCTTCAATGGAAGTGAGATGAAATGAGTCCTCGGTCTTGCAGGAGATTGGTCTTCCAATTCTTATAGACTGCACCCAAGTGACCAAAGCAAATAGTATGCTTGTCACTCCCAACTCCTGCCCGAATGACGCAAGTCGCTGAGAAAAGAACTGAACATCCACCGACCGTTTCTTTCTTCCCGACACCAACATGCTACGTAGCGGTTTCGGATGTCCACGCCCACAGCCGTTGACCTTCACCAGTCCTGGGCCCAGGACCTTTGACCTTCACCTGTTCGACCTCAATCTGCCGCCGCTGCACCGCCCCGGACCGGCCCGGAGCTGCACCAGTTGGTGCTCCCGGTGCTGTCGGCGGCGGGGTCCGGCTGGCGGGCGGAGGCAACGTCGCTTCGAAGAGGGGGATCACGCGGTGGTTCTGAAAGACGACCATGAAGTTGGGCAGGTGTCGGACCTGGTTGCTTCGGTTGGAAGGCATGCTGGGGTGCTGGGGTGAAGAACTGCGTGCTTCGATGAACGAAAAAAAAAGAAGACCTGGAATTTCCAGTGCCCAGGTGTTCATGAGGTCGCTTGGGTCTAAGATGATGGGCAACCACTTGTTCTCTGCGTGTTGAGTATTGTTCACTGTGAGATATGACAGGCCTGACCCTCTTGTTGAGCAACACACAAATTGGATGGGTCAACCGCCACGATGCGGGCCTTGGATGATTTGGGAAGTCTTCTCCTTTTTCAGCCCCTAACCGAAACAGAAACCAAAGAGACTGCCATATTGGCTGATCAGTTGGAGTGATTTGGGGGGATCAGTGTACAATAGGCATATATTTCAGCCCGATGGAGTGTCTGGGTCATTGACCAGAACTGTTTTGAGGCAGTTTCACATGGTGTCATGTCTCCAATCCCTCAACCCCGAAAAGAATAATCCAAGGACTATATCGATATACCAATCCTGGGGTTTGAGGGTGTTCATTTCAAGAATTGGTTCCTTCTTGGGAAACACCAACATTGAAACATGTTTTTCAGGTTGTTCTGTTTAGAGATATGCCTTCCCTTGAATGATATTCCACTCTACACTTTTTGTGGTGTCGCATATTCGGACCAGCTGGATCAGGGCCTTCTGCGTATCTACAATGACTGTTTGCATAAAGGAACATGCCAATTGCTGGGAAACAGTGTTGTCCCTAGTACGTACATGAAACAAACGACACCTATTTAATTCTTTGTTGATGCACTCTACTGTGACTGTACCTCATGGCTGGGTAGCATCTCTTCGCCTAAGGCACAAGCTTGTTCTCCCCGTCCAAAGCTGCGCAAACCAGCATGGGACGCTTGTCTCCTCGCGCATAGCTCCAGGAAACTTCAGCGCAGTTGCCCTTGGCGCAGTAGACCCCACCTCAGCCATCAGCTGCTGGAGCTTTCACAGTAGAGACTTCAGATGCAAAAACAAACAACAACATAACTCCAGGCCAGACCACTGCTTTGATGATCTGCTCAAGTCTCAACTACTGTGGCCTCACATTGTACAGTGGCGTCGAAACGTCAGAGAGTGGTCTGGAGTGGTCTGGATATGCGGACCTACCATCCCCTAAGGATCCAGTCGTACCTAACCTCAGGTTCGGTACGACTGGACCTACATAGCGGTGTCTCCCTCCTCACCTGAGGTTCGCTACGACTGGATCCCGACCGACTCGGACACGGCCCCGGTGGTCTGTTCGGATGGGTTGAGATGGGATGGGTTGGGCTTTCAGTCTCACACAAGTGCCCGGAGATGTTGGGGTGACCGCCTTAGGGCCAACGGGGATGTCACGTTGTTGAACGCTGGTGTCAAGACGATTGCATGTTGCATTCCTGCCGCAATCGTCTTGACACACACTCCAACAAGTACACCTGTGAAAGTGGAAACATTGTCCAGTTGCAAGACTGCAAGATGCCTTGCGTTCACAAGCAATGTTATGTTTAACTTCTATGTTTTATCAGAAACCTGAGAAGGAGGAAACGAAAGCCAGTGGAAGTTCACAGTTCACGCGACTTAGGGATCTCCTTTTGGTCAGACTTGGGACTGGCCACACGCTCCTTCTGCCCCTCCTCTCAAAAAAGGCAGCTGGAAGTGGGCACAAGGCACAAGCTGGCTCTATATAAAACATGTTGCAAAGGCAAGGATTGGTATCCTGAGGCAAACTTAGAGTTCAAACGCCCCAGAGATGAACCCCCCTTTGGTCACCCAGAGTTGGTCACCGGTCACCTTAGCGTCCAAAAGCCCCTTGGTCGTCAAAGCCCCTTGGTCGTCAAAGAGTTCACGCGGAGTCCCCAGGCCCGCGATGGCCCGCCCAACAAGATAGCGCTTTGCCACTGCCACTCGTGTCCACGGCCCAAATAAAGCAAATCCTGTCACTGACCACTCCTGCTTGAAGAGAAGAACGTGACATCTAGGGATAAATCGTCAAACTGTTGTGGTCCCCTCTTTACAGAATAAATGATCTGAGTGTGGATGCATACATCACCATCGCCTCCTTTGTCCAATCAAGCAGGAATCTATAAGGAAGAAAACTGCCATGCTCTGACCATCCAACGGGTCCTGCTAAGAGTTACTTTCATGGATGGATCATGTTCATGTGGTAAATGTAGTAGTGCTTCCAGTCCCCTTCCTCTGGTCTGCCATCTCAGTCCCCTTCCTCTGGTCTGCCATCTCAGTCCCATTCCTCTGGTCTGCCATCTCAGTCTTGTTTCTTCAAGATTCGCTGTGACCCCCTGGGTGCTCCTCCGATAGAATCGCTAGTTTCGCCCGCGGCCCGGTGGTTCGCCAAGGCACAGCCATAGGCGGAGCCATTGTGCACCGTGAGATGATTTTCGAGCCCAGGCACTAGGAGCCCGTTCTGATAAATGGAGTCCTCAGAGTTTGGGGAGCCCTTTTTGGACGAAGGACCAACATGTGTTTCTTCTAAACGTGAAAAAATAATGATTTCTTGGGACCGCTTTTGGACCATAGAAAAGTGCTGTGAATGTAGGATGTCCAATATCACGAGGAATCTAGGAAGAAATGGCATGAAAGGCTAGGTTTGAGGCAAATTGGCTTTCAAGATTGGAGGTGAAAAAACTTGAGACAACTGGAATCACGGGTGTTTACCTTAAAACAAATTGTTAATCTTTCTAATTGTTCTTGTTTAGTGGGAAACCATTCC